AAACAATATAATAATGATAAATAATATTTTATCAATAGAATAAGTAAATAATAAATTAATTTACTCATTTTTTGAAGTAAAACTTCTTTAGGCGCGATATGGGTGTAAAAATTTCTTTAGGCTACACGGGTGTAAATCCGTACAAATGCAACGAAAACGCCAACGTGAAGTTGAACACTACGACGCTGTAAGCGCTGATGTCGCGAGTCGCGTTCCACTCCCGTCATGTCATGCGTAAGCCGAACGCTAAACCCTATATGAACTTGCATTAATTGAATCATGTTTTTTTTTAAAAGAAGAGGTTGCTGTATTATGTCCTCATGGAATAAGACTTTTCTTAGAGAATACATGTGTCATGGAATATAATAAATTTATATTGAATCTCGTTGAAGACAAAATAATATCTACTGCCACGGATATTTATGTAGGTTGCCATGCGACAGATCAACAATCATACATTCGTCAGCAGTTTCACAAAAATCGGTTATTGATACCGGGGGTTTGCCGTATGAAATAATTTTAGTTCTGAATAAATTTTACATAATAACAACTAATATCGATGTAAGTGATGGCTTAGCTAATGGTTGTGTAGGAAAATTAGTGTACATAGAACGTGGCGATAATGATGAACTTCTACATTTATGGTTTGAATTTCCTATCTTACCAGGTAACAAAATTAGGAAGAAAGCTGCACATCATATTCAAACTCCTAATATCAGTAGGACAGCTGTGCCGATTCTCAGGAGATCTTCATCTATTCCAATGAATAGAAATAAAATCATATTTGTCAAAAGAAATCATTTTACTTTAGTGTCTGCTTGTGCACTCACAATACACAAATCACAAGGTGGTACTTTTGATAAAATTGTATATGAATACAATAAAACACATAATCAGCAGCTTCTATAATTTGCATTATCACGAGTTACCAGCATTAATGGATTGTTCATCATTTCTAAAACAACGACAAAAAATTTTATCATGGAAGAAAACGGCCAGCAGGATTAATGGACTTAAAATCTGAATTCCAAAGACTTTCAACTTGTAGATTAATAACACAAGAAAAAAAATTGAGTGAGATAATAAGTTTGAACGACATTTCATTGTTTTCCTTCAACTGCCAAAGTTTACGAGCTCATTTGCCTGATCTGCAAGATAAAGTGCTACAACGTTGTACGTTTTTGTTATTTTCGGAAACTTGGATTAATAATGAAGAACGAATTGATATTCAGAACTATTACTGCGTTACTCAATACAAACGATCAAACTCAAGAGCAGGTGGTATAGCTGTCTATCATTCATGTTCAGATACTCTTCATAGTGCGACTCCTATGCAGTTTCTTGCGCCAACAATATTACTGGATATTCCTAATGAAATTACACAAGTAGGTGATATTGCAGTCGTCCGCTGTGTGAACACACAGAATCAAACATTAATTATAGTCGTCCTTCAAATTTCTCCCAATAAAAACATATCAAATATTATTGAATTTCTTCATCAGCAGTTACTTCATTTTTCTAATGAGGGTGCAAAACTTTTGAACACTAATCACAACGAGATACCATTAATTCTTGCTGGAGATTTCAATGTCAATTTTCGTTCAGAAGAATCTCAACCATTAATTGATTTTTTAAATAATAAATTTAATTTAACAATGAATAATTCTCCATTTGAATCAACCACAAATGTACATAGTTTACAAAGCAAAATTTATGTCTCTCATTTCAGTTATCACAAACCTATTATATCATATATGAAATATGATAGCAATTAATCAATCGCTGTTGCTTTAAACTGTGTTATTGATGTTATGTGATTATTAATAAATGATTTTTAAAATTCAAATATGATGTTTTTTTTATTTTTATCTTAATTGCCTACTCATACAATATTAAAAGTTTTACTTCAATCGCGTGTGATCCTTACGCGCACTCTTTTTTTGGTCAAACTAAAGACTTAGACACTATTATAAAGACATAATTTAGACATTATTATCAAAGACAAGACCCATCAAATAAAATTGCAGGAAAAAAACTACATTAACTTTTCGAGACTTGTAAATTGAAGGAAATATTGTTGACAAGTAGGTAGGACTCAATACCTCGACCGATTCACTGCAAATGCGATCATAGGGCTTGGGAACCCACGGTGATCCATCAACACTACAAATATATATTTCGCATAATTTCAGCATTGTATCAAATAAACTGTTTGCAAAATAAACATTTTAGCGCTATCTGATAACTTTTATTTTTCTTTTAATCATAAAATTACAATTATTATATAATAAAATGTAATTAATATATAAATAATAGTTATACATAATCAATATACAATATATAAATATGTATTTTACATTATTTCAGGCTTGTATTAATTACATTGTTTTACAAAACATTTTTTTTTAGTAAGCATTAAATTTTGATAATACAACAATTTATTGACTTATAATTTTTCTTTTTGCTAAACATAACAATTTTACAACTATTCATAATACTCCAAATTGTATTTTTATAACAATAAGGTTATGATACTTACTTTATTCTTCTAACCGCTGCGATTCACTTTTCCCGTTGATTTTCTTTCCACTTAGCTGTACAAAATATATAGAATTTGCAGTCACTTTTTCTGCTGGTATTTCTACAACCCACTACACAACAGATATGGTGGCTTATTTTTAATTATCTTATTTAAATTTGAAATAAATAAATATTTTATGTATTTTTGTTTAAAATTTTGTTTATAATAGCCCCTTTTAGTGCTTCAAGTTAGCCACTACGAACGCTTCGGTCGATTTGACTTCCCCTTCCATGCCTTCGCACATTTTGAATTTGGGAACAGTAAAACTCTCTATCGCAGGAGCGGAATACTAATACGATAAAAAGGTCATTTGTTCTATGCAATGTTTGCCCCCCATGATTATAACAGAAATTTTGAACAAAAACACATAAAATATTTGTTTATTTCAAATTTAAATAAAATAATTAAAAATGAGCCAACAAAGCTGTTGTATAGTGAGTTGTAGAAATACTAGCAGAAAAAGTAAAGGCAAATTCTATACATTTTCTATAGCTAAGTGGAAAGAAAATCAACGGGAAAAGTGGATCGCTGGGGGTAGAAGAATAAAGTAAGTATCATAACCTTATTGCTATAAAAATTCAATTCGGAGTACTATGAATAATTGTAAAATTGTTATGTTTAGCAAAAAGAAAAATTATAAGTCAATAAATTGTTATATTATCAAAACTTAATGCTTACTAAAAAAAATTGTTTTGCAACCAATGTAATTAATACAAGGCTGAAATAATGAAAAACATATATTTTAGTGATGTGCCGACTCGAAAATTTCCTGATTCGAGTGATTCGAATCAGAAAAAAAAACCTGATTCGAATCAATTCAAATCAAGTTGATATATGAACAATTATAATTTAAGACAAGAAATAATATCACTTTAATAATTTTATAAGTAAAATAATTAATTTATTAAGCAATTAATTCTAAAAAGTGCAGAGATTAATACATTTATATATATATATATAATAATAAACTAGCTACAAATAGAACTAATATTTCAAATGAATTTACAGTAAAATATAACCAAACACTTCTTTATCACTAAAGCATATAAAACAATATTCTTAACCTTACGTTGAACGAATGCATGTTTATATTATTGATTGCTTAGATCTAATCTAAACAGGGGGCTGAATCTAACGTCTTACGAATGACTTAAAATTCAATCCAATACTGTAAAGATTGATATTATTTCATTTGTGTGAATTTGCCATTACTTGCATAATTAAAATATGATAATTTTGTATGTGTATGAAACTCGTTGTGTAGTTTATTTTGATAATATTTAAAATTTAAATCGCGTATTTATTATCTAAATAAGTTCTTGATATTTCATGAACAAATTTGCTCTCAGCGCTTAGTCAAAAATAAACAAACACTCAAGACTTCAAGACCCATACGCACTGCATCTCGATAGTCGATACGCTAAAACACAGAAACATGTTTCGAACTCAAATCGGAATGATTCAGTTTGAGTCATATGAACTCGGATGAATTCATATCGACTTGAGGTCGGAATGATTCGGTTTGAGTCATATGAACTCGGATGAAGTTATATCGGCTTGAAGTCGGAATGATTCGGTTTGGGTCATATGAAGTCGGATGATATTGTTAGTCAATGAATGCGGTTAAAGTCATATAAATTGGAGTCGGGTGATACATTTGAGCGTATTAAAGCGGTGTAATATTTTATATTTATTATTATTATTATTTATATTATTATAATATTGAATTAAATTAAAACATTTTTTTATATTTATGAAAATTTGTGTTCATACATGTTTTATCACAGTAAATATTTTGCGGCTTGATACGAGTTGATTCGAATCAAGTAAAATCTGATTCGAATCAAGTCGTTAAAGGCTTGATTCGAATGATTCGAATCACTTGATTCGACTTGGCACATCACTAATATATTTATATATTGTATATTGATTATGTATAACTATTATCTATATATTAATTACATTTTAAAATATAATAATTGTAATTTTATGATTAAAAAAAAAATAAAAGTAATCACATGGCGAAAAAATGTTTATTTTGCAAACAGTTTAATTATTATATTAATTAATATTTGTAGTGTTGATGGATCTATATACTCTTCTTTTATCTATGGATGGATCACCGTGGGTTCACAAACGTAACTGTATGCATGTGCAACTGAATGAATGCGCAACCAAGCGTATTTTCACAGTGCCCACAGACGGCTCAAGTCAAGATATAAACTAAAAATATATCTTTTTTATTAATTTATATATTTACAGCATCAGAAGAGAATTCAAAGTGTTCAGAGGGCTAATTTAATAACTTTTAATTGTCGATAACTTCATAAACTTGTAATATGAATTCGCTAATGGACTTGTAGCCACCGCGCCATCACACGAGACGAGGCCACAACCTAGGCGTGAGAAGTTTATTGTAAGTGAATATGTCGAAGTGGTCATATCTTAATCAATAAAATTTTTATCTATGGGTATCTTGTCTATTTTATATCGGTATCGGCATTGCCTTGAATTGTGACAGCCTGCGTAATAAATTTATACCGTGTTCTGATTTTCGATTACGCAAAAAATGACTTCAAACGCTTCGAAAACGTTCTTTATGCGGAGCTTGAGTGTAAGTTATAACATCAAATTTTGTCGTTGATAGACAGTTCTTAATGAGTATATCTTTCATTTAATTATTACGTAAACTAAGCAGTACTTTATTTGTCATTCTATTTTAAGGCAAGGGGCTATAGTGCGAAGCCACAGGCGCAACCTGCTTCTTTAAAGACTCTTGAAATTGAAGGAACTCTCTTGCCAAACAAGCTTTCTGTTGCCACTGCCGAAAATCGTAGTGCAGTTTCAAGAGTTTCAGTTTTAGTAAAGTATGTGTTTTTTATATTAATATGCCATTTACATTATTCATATAATTTTGTATGTTTTGTTCATTGTGTTCATGTCTTAACATACCAATCTTATGCATGTTATTGTAGAGCTGGTTCACGATATGAAGAATACAGCAATCAAGGCTGTGCACACATGTTACGTATTGCTGCAGGTCTTTCCACAAAAAACTCTTCTCAGTTTGCAATAACTCGTAGCATTCAACAGCTTGGTGGTAGATTGACATGCACATCAGATCGAGAAACTATTGCATATACTTTAGATATACCAAGAGATAAATTAGAGCAGGGATTGAAATTCTTATCAGATGTGTCGTGCAAGCAAGTCTTTTACCCTTGGGAACTGTTAGATAGCTTGCCAAGACTGAAGTATGAATTAGCCAGTTCCAGCCATTCAGTATGTTATTCATATATTATACTCTGTCTAATGCTTATAATTTATTAACATTTTACAAATATATACTCCATATGATCAGATTCAACTATATGTGCAAATATACAATATGTACCACATTTTATACATCACACACTATTATATGTAACTCGTTTGTTGTTCGACTTAGCCTATTCTTTGTTAATAGAAGCAATTTTCGTAATACTACATTGAAAACTTTTAGGTCCGCGCTATTGATATGTTACACAAAGCAGCTTTTCGTACAGGATTGGGAAATTCAATATATTGTCCTAAATGGCAAATTGGAAAAATTAGCTCAGAAGCCTTATCTCATTTTGTAGCAACAAATTTCACAACAAATCGTACTGCTGTTGTGGGATTAGGTACTAGACATGATGAAATAGTGAACTTTGCTCAAAATATGCTTGCTTTGGAGTGTGGTGAACCAAGCTGTACTACAGCAAAGTATGTTGGCGGTGAATTAAGGTAAATATGGGAATATAAAAGTTTTCATTATTTCTGAGTTGTACGCAAGGATGAAAATTGTCTGTTTTATTATTTACATGTAAATCTATCATTAATATAATTTATATTATAAAATAGAATGCTATGAACTATTATTTTTATGGATAAGATTTATTACTATTATTGAAACACCACTACTTTTGTGATTATAGACTATGTAGGTTTTTGATGAAATTTTAATTACTCTCATTGTTACATAAGATTCAGTGGCATCAGTATGTAAATCTGCATTATATTATAGTAAAGAGATCAAAAACAAGTTTGATATAATTCCATAAATAACTATTAAGCAAATTGCTGTAGTTAGTTGAGTTTAACCCATTCGAGACGGCGATTTTTTTCGAACGCGGTCTTCAGGAGCGAATTTTTTATTTGTTTACTGTGTTCATTTTTAATAAAAAAAACTTGTTTACTATGGAAATCACCCAATTCGTAAGCAAATTTGCTTAAATAAGATGATTGCACACCGTGTGTGCAATTCGCTCCTCATAAAATTTTTATTGCGAGGAGCGGATTGAATACCATGTGTGCAATGTAAAGTAATATAAATAGACATTATTAAAATTGATAAACATTTATTTTAAAAATATTTAGATAATATGAAATTGTTAAGTTGCTTTCAATAATGAAGAACAAAATATAATGCAAAGAAAATTTTTAATAGTAGAAAGTCAAAAGAATAAATTCAATAATGAAGAAAATAATATAAATAAGAAATAAATTACTTCTTACATTGTTTGTTTAGGCGGTATATATAGAAGGCGATACTATTGCTATGGTGAAAAATTTGAAAAATAGAATTCGATAAATATGGGTTCTTACAATGATATTTCATAACAATGTAGATTTCGAAATTTCAAACAAAATGTTTTGTTTTGTTTTGGTATGCAATAAAACCAATGCCAAATTTTGTTTTTCTATACTTTACAGATAATATTAATTGAAAAAAATCCTATCTTGGCGACTATTTAACTCAGAATAACTGGTAATTGCTTATTATTATCATTGCACGCACGGTGTGCAACTGGTCTTATAGTCTCGGAAAGCTATTGCACAAATGGTGTCGCAAATGGGTTAATTATTGCTTGTATTGTAGGACGAATCTGAAATTTAGTCACAAAATAATTTAATTATAAATTATATCAAATTTATATAAATTGATATAGTCACATGATATAACATTTACTACAAATAACTTAATTATAAATAGGTTGAGAAGCTTTAGTTACATTGAATAAATTCAAATAAACATTTGGTTGATCAGAAACATTGTAATTAAAAAAGTATAGAAATCAAAACTCTTGAATATTTTGATCTTAGATATCTAGGTCTTGGAAATAAAGTACTTGTTACTTAAAAAAAATGTAAATGAAACCTTTTGCACTAGGAGTATAATTATAGTTCAGTAAAGACATACATGTTTTATTTTACTTTCAGAAAAGATAAAGGAGGCGATCTGGCAAGTGTTGCTCTGGGTGTATCTGGTGCTGGCCTGAATAATGCAGAGGAAGTTCTAGCATTTTCTGTGCTTCAGCATGCACTGGGAACGGGTTCCAATGTTGTTTGGGGAAACAGTAATTCACCATTAGGAAAAGCATTATCAAATATTCCCAATGTTGGAGCTACAGCTTTTAATGCAAGTTACAGTGATAATGGTTTGTTTGGTGTTTTAGTAACAGCTCCAGCAGAACATGTAGGCGAGGTAAACTTATAAATTTTTCAAATATTTATGTATTTGTGCAAATTAAAGTGTACATATATATACACACACACACATATATATATATATATATATATATATATATATAATATAGAATTTTATGATATGAGTGGAACGAATATTAATTGTTTAATATGAACAAAACAGCACTCAGATTTTTTTTATCACAACTTTATTTTATTATTACAAACGTTTCGAGACTAAGGTGTGCCTCATCATCAGTGTAATTTCAATAACAGTTATTTATTACTAAACATTCTTTTTAATATTTTATTTAAAACTAAATTTGGACTTTTTAATATAAAACATCAACTATACCTTGCATTGGCAAGTGACAATTGTTTCAATCAATGCTTGACACTACTGACTGACATGTGACATTTACAGAATTATTTGAAACAAAACTGAAGTATCTAACGGAGACAGGATGGGTAACATTAAAATGTAAACAAAGGAAGGCGCTTGCATACAAAAATCGATAAATATAAAAAAAAACAGATTAATTTATTGAAAAGAACAAGATAAATGAAAAAATTATAAATTATTAATAATGTCAATGCAAGGTATAGTTGATGTTTTATATTAAAAAGTCCAAATTTAGTTTTAAATAAAATATTAAAAAGAATGTTTAGTAATAAATAACTGTTATTGAAATTACACTGATGATGAGGCACACCTTAGTCTCGAAACGTTTGTAATAATAAAATAAAGTTGTGATAAAAAAATCTGAGTGCTGTTTTGTTCATATTAAACAATTAATATATATATATATATTAGGGTGGTCCTTAAAATGGTCATTTTCGAATTTCTTTGCTCCCAGGGGCTCAAATGGTTCCAAATAGATAAAAAACAATTCTCTGAAAGTTTTAGCTCTTAATATTAACGTTTAGATAGAGCGCAATTCAATCAAACTTCGTATGGAAAGAGCATGGAAAAATTTTTGAAAATTAAAAAAAAATGTTTTAGGTATAACTTAGCGACAAATGAATGAGTTTTATTCATTCATTTGTTCGCTAAATTACATCTAAAAAACATTTTTAAAACTTTTGAAAATATTTCCATGCTATTTCCATACAAAACTTTGATTGAATTGCGCTTTATCTAAACGTTAATATTAAGAGCTAAAACTTTCAGAGAATTGTTTTTTATCTACATGGAACCATTTGAGCCCCTGGGAGCAAGGAAATTCGAAAATGACCATTTTAAGGACCACCCTATATATATATATATATATATATATATATATATATATGTGTGTGTGTGTGTGTATATTAAAAAATTAAAAATTGAGTTGTATCAAAAACTATTGTTTACACAAATTCTGCAAGTCCTATTTAAATATAATATGTATTTTCAAATGTTCAATAAAATTTTGTATTATCAATCTGAACAGGCTGTGGAAAAAGCGCTAAGTGCTTTAAGGTCTGGTAACATTTCTTCAGAAGCAGTTGCAAGGGCGAAAAATCAGCTGAAGTCAGCAGTGTTAATGTCACTGGAATCTGGAGATTCATTTACAAGTGATATGGGAATGCAAGCTTTACTCACAGGAACTGTGAAATCAGCTCCAGTAATTGCAGCAGCTATTGATGCTGTCAGTGTATCCGATGTAACAGCTGTGAGTACATCTTTCAAACGTTATTTGATAAATGTTCTTGCAATTAATGATTTTTCCTTAATATTTAGGTGGCCAAGAGAGCTGCTGCAGGAAAGTTATCATTAGCTGCTATTGGAAATTTGAAAAATGTTCCATATCTTGATCAGTTGAAATAGATTTTTTTTAGCTTAAAAGTAATATTTAATATAAATCAGAAGTGAAGATGAGATAATTATTATTTTAAATAAATTAAATTTTAATATTATTGTTGCTTGTTGATGTTGTAGCAAATTTTTGATCCACTTGTTCCAACTAGAATTTGTCTTAATAAATTCTGAATATAAAATTGAAGGAAAGTAATCAATGGGCTTCAAATAAATACACATGAAACTACTTATGCATTTTTTCTGACATTTCCAGTCATTCTGAATATTTTGAGATCATATAAGAAAACATTTTCATTCATTAGAAAGTATACTTGTTTGTGTGTTTTGATTTTGAAGTAGAAAACAGGGTTTTCTTTTAGCTTTTACTTTTGATAACACACTCAGTTCCCTGTTTTCTACATTATAATCAAAATCTCCGTCTGACAGAATCACCGATTCCGTTTATAAAATTAACTGTTTAGATTGTGACAGTTGTTACATCCGTGAAAGTTCCCAATACATCAGCAAGAGAATGAATCAGCATATTTATAATTCAAAAAACCCTAAACAATTTAAAACAATGTTTTCTGAGCACGTTATTAATTTCAAACACTCTTTTAATACTGATCATCCTATAATTTTATATAAAGAAAAAAATGTGGACCTTAGAAGTTTTATGAATTCTGTTTTATCCTTTTAAATTCAAATTGTGTGAACAAACGGAGTTCTTCTTGCTTACTTTCAGAAAGCTATCAAAATATAATTAATTTCTGTAAATCTGATTCCCTACTATGCCCCTGAATCGCGTACGTCCCCTCCATGCATCGCGTATTGGTCGCACGATGGCTGATTGTGCTTGTGCTATCTTTGTTAGAAACAAATAATTATGTGTTTTTTACATTATTTACCTTTTTCCGTTCTTTCTTAAATTGTTTTTGTTTTCCTACAGTATTAGCATATGATTGTTGTGTTGTAAAATGTGATAGTAAAGTGTGGTTTTTCTTGATCTGTTGTGTATAATTTGGTTTTTTCAATTAGTTTTTCTAATGTATAATTTAAATTTTTAAAATTTTTCTTTATATTGTAATTTTTTTTAGCTAAATGATGAGACACATCTAGTCTCCAAACGTATAAAAAATTAAAATAAACTTTCTACATTCGACGCATTGGCTATATTTAAACCTCGTGTCACGATGTTGGTTCGCGATGGACGCGCCTAAACTACTGAATCAATTTTAAATTTTATTTGCTCATCGTGTGCGTATATATCCAACTTAGGTTATTGGAAATTTTGAAAAATACATTTAATATAGAAATATATATTTTTTATAAATTTCCACAAATTTTGACAGAAATTTACTAAAAGAAAAACTATACACTAAAATGACAAATGTCGATATTTAAGAAAACTTCAAGAAAAAACGATTTATGATTTTTGAAGAAAAATGACAGTTCAAAAAATATATTATTTTTACTAATTGAAAAAAGAACAGATATATTATAATATATGCAATAGTTATATCCAAATTAGGCAAAATTCTATATTCAAAATAACAGAAATACAGTAAACCCTCGCTTTACGCGGCAAGTGTGTACCGTGCAGCATGGGGACCGTGCTATAAAAAACTCGTATTTAACATACAATTCAGGCTAATTCGTAGTGCGTTCTATAGAACCTTACATAGTGCAGTATGGGAACCGTGCTATGAGAGACTCAGAGTTGGTACAACCATTTTTATCGTTATGTATTCGCTCAGAGCGTGACTGCAGCGCCCATGCAGCGCCGTAATAAATATGAACTAATGACGGCTATCAGTGTGTGGTTTTCATGGGTTTTATATGTTTGTTAAAGAAAAAAGATATTAAATAATTATTATAAATAATAATAAACACGACAGAGTAATAATGTGAACGCCGAATGTTTATTGAAATTATTCAACGTTCTTAAAACATAATTAAGTATAATGATTAATTAAATAAAGAAATGCAGTAAACATTTTTAAGGTTAAGTGCCTCAAAGCTTATGTCATAATCTCGGAATAGTTCTTAATAAAAAAAAAGAGTGCGCGTAAGGATCACATGCGATTGAAGTAAAACTTTTAATATTGTATGAGTAGGCAATTAAGATAAAAATAAAAAAACATCATATTTGAATTTTAAAAATCATTTATTAATAATCACATAACATCAATGACACATTTTAAAACAACAGCGATAGATTAATTGCTATCATATTTCATATATGATATAATAGGTTTGTGATAACTGAAATGAGAGACATAAATTTTGCTTTGTAAACTATGTACATTTCTGGAGAAAACTGCATCAATAGTCGTGCCATATCTTGTGGTTGATTCAAATGGAGAATTATTCATGGTTAAATTAAATTTATTATTTAAAAAATCAATTAATGGTTGAGATTCTTCTGAACGAAAATTGACATTGAAATCTCCAGCAAGAATTAATGGTATCTCGTTGTGATTAGTGTTTAAAAGTTTTGCACCCTCATTAGAAAAATGAAGTAACTGCTGATGAAGAAATTTAATAATATTTGATATGTTTTTATTGGGAGAAATTTAAAGGACGACTATAATTAATGTTTGATTCTGAGTGTTCACACAGCGGACAACTGCAATATATCACCTACTTGTGTAATTTCATTAGGAATATCCAGTAATATTGTTGGCGCAAGAAACTGCATAGGAGTGGCATTATGAACAGTATCTGAACATGAATGATAGACATTAGACAGCTACACCACCTGCTCTTGAGTTTGATCGTTTGTATTGAGTAATGCAGTAATAGTTCTGAATATCAATTCGTTATTCATTATTAATTCAAGTTTCCGAAAATAACAAAAACGTACAACGTTGTAGCACTTTATCTTGCAGATCAGGCAAATGAGCTCGTAAACTTTGGCAGTTAAAGGAAAACAATGAAATGTCGTTCAAACTTATTATCTCACTCAATTTTTTTTCTTGTGTTATTAATCTACAAGTTGAAAGTCTTTGGAATTCAGTTTGTAAGTCCAATAATCCTGCTGGCCGTTTTCTTCCATGATAAAATTTTTTGTCGTTGTTTTAGAAATGATGAACAATCCATTAATGCTGGTACCTCGTGATAATGCAACATATAGAAGCTGCTGATTATGTGTTTTATTGTATTCATATACAATTTCATCAAAAGTACCACCTTGTGATTTGTGTATTGTGAGTGCACAAGCAGACACTAAAGGAAAATGATTTCTTTTGGCAAATATGATTTTATTTCTATTCATTGGAATAGATGAAGATCTCCTGAGAATCGGCACAGCTGTCCTACTGATATTAAGAATTTGAATATGATGTGCAGCTTTCTTCCTAATTTTGTTACCTATCTTACCAGGAAATTCAAACCATAAACGTAGAAGTTCATCATTATCGCCACGTTCTATGTACACTAATTTTCCTACACAACCATTAGCTAAGCCATCACTTACATCAATATTAGTTGTTATTATGTAAAATTTATTCAGAACTGAAATTATTTCATACGGCAAACCCCCGGTATCAATAACCGATTTTTGTGAAACTGCTGACGAATGTATGATTGTTGATCTGTCGCATGGCAACCTTCATAAATATCCGTGGCAGTAGATAATATTTTGTCTTCAACGAGATTCAATATAAATTTATTATATTCGATGACACATTTATTCTCTAAGAAAAGTCTTATTCCATGCGGACATAACATAAAAAACGTGATTCAATTAATGCAAGTTCATATAGGGTTTAGCGTTCGACTTACGCATGACATGACTCGCGCCTAAAGGATACTCGCGACATCAGCGCTTACGGCGTCGTAGTGTTCAACTTCACGTTGGCGTTTTCGTTGCATTTGTACGGATTTACACCCGTGTAGCCTAAAGAAATTTTTACACCCATATCGCGCCTAAAGAAGTTTTACTTCAAAAAAAAAAGAGTGCGCGTAAGGATCACACGCGATTGAAGTAAAACTTTTAATATTGTATGAGTAGGCAATTAAGATAAAAATAAAAAAACGTCATATTTGAATTTTAAAAATCATCTTTTAATAATCACATAACATCAATAATAATAAGATCTCCTGAGCATCGGCACAGCTGTCCTACTGATATTAAGAGTTTGAATATGATGTGAAGCTTTCTTCCTAATTTTGTTACCTATCTTACCAGGAAATTCAAACCATAAACGTAGAAGTCCATCATTATCGCCACGTTCTATGTACATTAATTTTCCTACACAACCATTAGTTAAGCCATCACTTACATCAATATTAGTTGTTATTATGTAAAATTTATTCAGAACTAAAATTATTTCATGCGGCAAACCCCCGGTATCAATAACCGATTTTTGTGAAACTGCTGACGAATGTATGATTGTTGATCTGTCGCATGGCAACCTACATAAATATCCGTGGCAGTACATATTATTTTGTCTTCAACGAGACTTTCAATTCAATATAAATTTATTATATTCCATGACACATTTATTCTCTAAGAAAAGTCTTATTCCATGAGGACATAATACAGCAACCTCTTCTTTTGTAAAAAAAAACGTGATTCAATTAATGCAAGTTCATATAGGGTTTAGCGGGTTTAGCGTTTGACTTACGCATGACATGACGGGAGTGGATCGCGACTCGCGACATCAGAGCCTACCTGTGTCGTAGTGTTCAACTTCACGCTGGCGTTTTCGTTGCATTTGTACGGATTTACACCCGTGTCGCGCCTACAGAAATTTTTACACCCATATCGCGCCTAAAGAAGTTTTACTTCAACAATATAATGATGATAAAAATATTTTATCAATAGAATAAGTAAATAATAAATTAATTTACTCATTTTTTATTATTTTTGGTCAAACTAAAGACTTACAATAGACATTATTATAAAGACATGATTTGATTCCATCAACCGTCAGATAAAATTGCAGGAAAAAAAACTACTTTAACTTTTCGAGGCTTGTAAATTGAAGGAAATATTGTTGGCAAGTAGATATAGGACTCAATACCTCGTCCGATTTTTTTCCTCTAATGAAATGTTCGCAAATGCGATCATAGGTCTTGGGAACCCACGGCGGTGATCCATCAACACTACAAATATATATTTTGCATTATTTCAGCATTGTATTAAATAAACTGTTTGCAAAATAAACATTTTAG